GCAGGCCGGAGCAGCCTCGTGCACGAAGCGGCGAGAACACGGCGATCCCGGAGGGAGCCGAAGGCAGGGAGCCATCCCGAGAAGGCCAGAAGCCAGTGTGCCCGAACGTGGCCACAAAAACAACCCCGGAAGCGGAATGGGAGTCCTGGGAAAAGATCAGGAAAACCAGGCCGTGTGGCCGACGTGGTTCAGCACGCACACGGGAGACACACGCGCTGGACTGCACATGCCAGGGCGGCCTCACTACGGCTTCTGACACGCTGGGTCTTAGCCCAGCCAGCTTAGCACCTGACGCGCCTGCACAGACACGTGGGACGCACGCCCTCAAGTCTCATGTGAGGACACGTCAACGTCCTCGGTCTACTAAGCACACAGAGGAAGGAAACTGTGGTGAGGAATTCAACGTAACCTTCCCAGAAAGAAACAAGGGTGACCCCAAGTGGGTCCCATGCAGAACATTCAGGGAGCGAAACTGATTCCAAACACACAGTTCCGGAACACAGACTGGTAAGGAGCGCTTCCCGAGGAAGTGGATGAGGCCGGCCCGGCAGCAAAGCACACCACAAATTCCAGGGACGGATGGCGGGAGACCCCAGTCGTGAACCGAGATGAGATTTAAGCCCCCGCGAGCCACTAGAAGCCGGAACCCGAGGGCACGTAAAGCGGAGACGATGGCGTTTTTGATGAACCGGGGTTTATCACGGCTGCTGCCACCGTGGGATGGCCACCGGTCTGAGTCCACGGCTACAGACGAAGAGCCGCACCAGCACATCAACACGTGCAGGACAGCGCTGCCCAGACGTCAGCGCCACGTCATGACCGTGCACGGTGAAGGCCGGGGGCACGGACGGACGGACGGGGGCCCCCTGAGTGACGGCGGGGGTGGGGGGAGTCTGTAGGGACCTGCCCCCAGCACCCTGCATCACAGAGACCACAGCCCACACCGGCACGGGATGGGCGGGCTCACCGCTTCCACACACCCACCCGACTGGGAGCCTAGAACTACGCCGTCCACGACACCGTGCGACTCCGTGGGAAGAGGACGGCCCGGTCCCGAGCGCCCACGTCCACACTGTCCATGACACTGCACGACTCCACGGGAAGAGGACGGCCCGGTCCCGAGCGCCTGCGTCCACACAGTCCATGACACGGCACGACTCCATGGGAAGAGGACGGCCCAGTTAAGATGCACGAATAACACGAGCAGGGATGTCGTCAGGGATGCACAGTTAGAAAGGAACGCGAGGTAAGATGACGGCTGCCGTCAGTCAAGAGGAAACCGTTAAGCGGCCAACCGTGAGCCCTGCCTACAAGCTGGGAACGTGCATGTCCCCAGAATTCCTACGCAGATGCATGAGCCCCAGGGCAGGGCTGTGAGCGGGTGGGCCCTCGGGCGTCATTATGTCAAGGGGTGGGGCCGCTCGCACGGGACTGGGGCCCGGAAACAAGGTCGTGCTGTTTTTCAGGTGCGCCTGGGTGGATACACGCGTGTCAAAGCTCCTCAGACCGTGTGTGTGCAGGGCGCGTGAGCCGCGTCGGGCGCTCAGTTACACCTCCAGGAAACCGCCAAGCAGGGAAACGACGGTGCGCTGACACAAACAGACGCAAGAGAAGGTTTTCAACGAACGTATCGTGAGGAAATGAAATAGAGCTCCGGCAAGTTCACGCGCACACGCACCACAACGGCTGAAAATAGAAGTGCGGAGGGCAAGCGCTGGCGGGGGTCACGGGAGAGCTGGTGCTCGAGCACCGTGGCCGGAGACGCGCCGTGAACCGCCACTGTGCACAGCGCTGACGCCGTTTCTGGTCAGATCGGTCACCCGCAGCTCAGCTCTGAGTGTCTGCTCCCTGACACGTGCAGACGGGTGCCCACGTCTTGCACACGCATGCGTGCACGCACACAAACCCAGGTTTATGCTGGAAGAAGGGAGCAAAGAGGACGTGAAAACACAAAGCAGTCATCCAGGAGGCTGGTGGACGTTCACGGGAAACCGTAAGTTCATCTCCCAGTCAGGAAAGGAAGCAGAAACGGACAGCCCAGAGCAAAGGCTCACACGTGCCGACTCGATAAAGACTCTAAAAAACGAAACGAGACGAGAAAAGCTTTGAAGCAACAGATGCACGCGCTACACAAGGGA